GCGAAACGTTAGGAAACAAAACTTCCAGAACACGGCCACACAGCCCGGAAGACCCACACCAGCCATCATATGCCGGCCGTGAAAGCCTTCGACAATACATAGAAGAGTTAATAGTTTGCATACAAATTATTTTACAACAACCTGAACCATACTTTTGGTTTTCAGCATCCTATTTCCATGAATGAATGACAAATAGTGTATAAATGTTATCTTAAGCAATATGTTTTTAGGGATATAATTTTTTGTTCCTATGAATAGTTAGATTGAATCTTCCACAAATGCAGCATAGGAACGTGTTTTTCATATCTTGTCAGATAGTGCTAGGCACAAACTTTTGCGTGTAGTCTTGAATCACAAGAGCTTAATAATGAAAAAATATGAGCGATGCATAGTTCATTGAACGAGGGAGAAGGTTTGTGAACTACCTAAGGTTTATTTAATAACTGTAATTGTAGGATTTCTATTAATATCAAGACAGAAAAAAGCCATTATACATTTCTTTCATTTTCTGTATAGTTGGAGAATAAGACAGAGTATTGATTAGGATCAAATTAAATATACTCTGTCTTATTCTCCAACTATACAGAAAATGAAAAGACTTAGACAAAGATTGAAGTAGTGGGAACAAGACCATGTAATACTGCAAATTAAAGATGAATATAATCAAATGCTAGTCTTCAGCATTAAAGCAGGTTTTGCTAAACTCAGAGCAGTGATAAAAGGGGTTGTGTATCAGGGGAAGCTAATGGCAAAAGGAGCTCAAAATGGCTGGGAGTTCCTAAAAAAGAGACACTAAAAGTACAATTGTAAGCAATTCCAATGAGGAAAAAAGAAGTGAAGGACAGCAGTAAAAGCCAATATGGCTATATAAAATAATTAGTGAAAACCTGAATATCAAAGCTAACAAAATAAGGAAGGTCTTCTTGAAAGAATACAGATGGGTAGCCCAGATTTGTAGACATAGTGTCAAGAAAGCTAAAGCTGTGAGCAAAATTTAGTAAAGAATTCTAGTAACAGCAAAATTCTTGGGGTATGTTCACATTAAAGGAAAAGAAACAATATAATGTGCTCAATGAAGATGATAAAAGAAATACCAGATGACAAACAGAAGGCAAAACTATTGGATTCCTATTCTGGTTCAGTCTTTTCTGAGAAGAGGGTTTCTGTTTGAGCTTGATGGAAGCATAGTCAGCAAGTACCAATTAACCTTGAATGAGTTCAGATCAGAGCCAGATGGCCTCCATTCTAGAGTACCAAAGGGGCTTGGGGATGGTCTGACAAACCTCAGTCCGTTATCTTTGACAAATCCTGGAGTATGAAAGCCTTTCTCTCTTGGAAAAGGGGAAAAAGGAAGAATTACAAACCAGTCAGTCTGACCTTGATACCTGGGACGATTCTAGAACAGATCAAAAGTGATCAGTCTGTAAACATTTTAAAAACTGAAGTGGACAAAAGTGCTTCAGATGCAACAGCACCCTTGTTGTACTTGTCAGCAGCTCCTTAAAAGAGCTGTGCTTTTTCCTGAATTCAGAAGGGGCTTAGGAAAATACACATTTCAGTTAAGGAAGTGGTGACAAGGTGGTCACACGTAGCCACACTTTATCACCACCTTTGTAATGCCTCCTGAACTCAAATGAGTACATTAGTTTGCCCATGCGCCCATCATGTGCGCCCAGGTAAAGTTGTGGCTCCTTTAAAAAGTCAACAGAAACAGCAAGGTTGTCCCACACTGCATCCCTGGATCTGTACACTGGTGATGCAGTGTTGTCTGAAAACATGAATTATTTGCAATGTACATTAGAAATACGGATCTGAAAAGTAATGTATCAAAGACCAAGGTTTGATGGGGAAAATGGAGTGAACTGTTGAAGTTATACAGTTATAAATGGCAAAAAAGTAGAGCAAATAGATTAATTTATATATCTTGGTAGAATGTTTAATAAATATAGGAAGAAATGTTAGGATTATAATACTGATAGGCTTATAATACTGATTGAAAGAAGTGAGTAGTATGTGAACTGTTGCAAGGAATGGGTGTTTGTTATAAGAAGTGAAAATAGCTGTGTATATGAGTATGCTTCCGCCCAGTTTGTTATGTTGAGGTGAGAGTTGGGTATGTCAAGAGAAAGATAAAAGTTGAATGTGGTGGGAATGGGGTCCTTCTTTGTAAAACAAGAAATGAATGAATGGGTGCCAAG